TTGAATTCCAATTGGAATGCATTTGATTGTCAATATTTTTTCACGAAAAATGTGTTTTTCATCCAAATTTTTATTTTCATGCAATTTGATTGGCATTTTTCTTTATGAAAATATATTCCTATTTTTGGTTACGTGATCATATTTTCATCGAAATCAAATTTTTTTTTTAGTGGGGTAAGATTTTATTTTTCAGAAAATCCACTCACTCTTTCTATTTCTTATTTATCTCTTCCATCTCATTTACTTACTAATAAAAAATGGACAAATATAATATTTTCTAAATTGAAAACTAAATTATTAAATACATTTAATTAATAATTTTCATGCAATTAAGTTCTAAGCAATTGAATTACCTATAATTTATTTTCTTTCCATACAAATTTCATACTCGTAATCAAACGTACCATTAGAATAATATATATTATATTATTATTTAGCACCTACATACCTTCTTTGTTTTTCTGATCTCATTGTGGACATGTAGAGGTACTGCAAAAGGGAACAAAGTGGGAGTAGTGGAACTAGCACGACGAACAATACCGCAATTGGAACTGTATTACAATTCTTCGCAAATTGATGACATCTCGAATTGGAGCATCATCTGGGTCATACAACTTGTCTTCACATCTGGACGATGACTTCTCAAAAGCTTGCTTGCCCATTCCCTACCTCTCTTGAAGCATCAAAATAGGAGATCGCCGACATCGACTTGAAATGGCCTGACATTCCATAGTAGAAACTTCACAAATTCAGAATGGTCTTGCTCTACTATTCGCTCGAAGAGAGAAAGCAAGAAGAGCAGTAGTGGACCGATCTTGACGGAGGGGATAACAAACGTAAAGGGGCTTGGCTTGGTTCACCCAGACATGGTGGATGATGAGATTCCATTGATAAAGAGCCAGTTACTTGAGTGAATATAAATTGGATTCCTCGAAAACCCTGATTGTCATTGTTCGATTTTTGGTTTAGGGTCTAATTGAACTCATTGAGAACCACTTTGTCAAAAGCAAACATGGAAAAAAAGAATATCAATGCTGGAAAATTCAAGTTTTACTGGGGAAGGAAGTACTAGCAGGTATAATGAGCTTTCTTAAGAATGCCAATTCTTTCGGACTGAAGCGCGCGCGATGGTGTTGGTTGGAACTCAATGAGAAGTATTTAGAGTATCGTCCCCTAGCAAAAGTTCTCATTTTGATTTGGCGCCTGGATTACAACTTTAGTAGTGGGGAAATGAGTCTTTGGCTCCTCCGGTCTCTCGAGCCTCCTCTATTTTGCGATTATTTTTTAACAGAGGTTGCTGCGCTTTCTCTTGTAAAGCCAAAGACGCCCCAAAGATACTTTTTTATGAGTTTTTTATTATGAAATTCAATACTTAAAGTATTGTATTTATGTATTTTTCCCTTCATTATGCTCAATTTGCCCCTTTTAAGTTATAAAAATGGGTTGGGCTTTATTAAGCTAATTTTGACACAAATACTTGTGAATTTTAATTTTCAAACATGCATATGCGGTCAACTCATTCGTTGATCGTATTATCACGAGCATATCCTATATGCTGGACGTTTCGAAAATGCATCGAGCATTTGCATGCATTTTAGAAAATTGTTTTAAATATAATATTCTTTCTATTTTAAGGAGTCAGCATTTAAAATTATGTTGCAAAAGAATTTTCCAATGAACATTTTAAAATATAGAGCGAGTTTGCCAATTTTCAATTGAGGAAAATAATATAATAATTTGAAGGAAAGTGAAAATGAAATAGGAAAAAAAATTAATGTTTTTTGATAGTGGAAAAATAAAATATTAAAGATAAAACATGGGCTTATTTGTTTTAACCTCTATTTGATGTAGATTAAAATTATATCTTCTGTAAATTTTGATAAAAAAAAAATTAATGAAATGCGGTGTTAAAAAGTTACGGATCGCATAAGATGTATGATTAAGGTTAATTATTAACTTTTAATTGGTTTTTTTAATCAAATTTTAGTTTATACCAAACAAGTGCAAATTAGGCAGTTGAATTATATAGAGGAAATGGGTTGCCGCTTCGACTTGTCCTGTTTGTTGTATTTAGCGCAAATGTGTGGTGCTTTGACCACCGATTTTTGTACCCCATGGACTCCATTCATCGTTCCCATCTTTATTAAGTTTGGAGAAAATTGTACTTTAATCCCCAAACAAATGCTCAAGTAGCACATTGGCTCCACACCTTAAAAAAGGAACCTAATCGCCAACCTTCCACTATATTACAAAATCCGCTGCCAAAAAAATCTAAATTTTGTTAAATCAACACGCCAACATCAATTGAAAAATATATAGATTTAGATCATTTTTGTTATTGAAAACCGATCGAGGAAAGTTTTAGTACCCACTTGTTATTTTTAAAAGTTAGAGAATGTGTAAGAAGGTTTAGTCATTCAACGTTGATTACAAAAAATGTTTGACCAAAACTTAAAAAATTCCTAGAAATAGTTTTGCATTTTTACTTTTACTTTAATTTTTATTTGAAAATTATTTTTTAAATGCACCTCCTATTCCAGATTTGCTTTTGAGGGAAGTTATATCGAACCGATTTCTTCTAAAAGCCCTTCTAGCCTACAAAAACACTTTCATAAAGTTGGCAAAACGAGTTTCAAAACTATTTTGAATCTCAAATGTTCCTTTTAATATTTTAAAAGTCATGCCAAACGAATTCCGAGCCAGCATCTACAAACAAGAACTTAGAATGGAACACATTTTTTTTTTTTTTTTGTCTTAATGGCTACATTTGTCGAGAATGTCGACGAATATGATATGATCAAGAATCCTATGGTTGATAATTGAATAATTATCTTATTAATTAGATTAGATTAAGCTAAAAGGTCCACCTGGCGTGTCAATCCAGCATGATTCATTGAATTGTAACGAGCACGTTAAAGAATATGAAAAGACGAAAACTCCAAAAGGTACAAGACAATAGGCAGTCACCAACTTTCGTCTTGCCCACAGGAGGAAATCCCTCCAATGGTCATTGAACTTTGTATAAAATTCATTAGGAGGTCATCGAACTTTAATACGTACCTGAATGGTCATTGGACTTTGCAAAAAGTCCCTGGAAGGTCACTAAACTAATTATGCATGGGATCCTAATTTGCAACGTTGAGTGACCTTTCTGGAGGACTTTGACAAAGATCACCGACCATTTTGGGTTGTTTTGAAGTTTGGTGATCTCTTGGGAGATTTCGGCAAAGTTCAATGATTATTTAGGGACGTATTAAAGTTCAATGACCTCCTAAAGAATTTTCTGCAAAGTTCAGTTACCATTCGGGGGATTTCCTCTGCCCACGGGATTGGCACAACTGGCTCTCAAAAGTTCTTTAATCCCTGTTTGGTCTTATTTTTTCTGAATTTATTTTCAATTCCACATTTAGCGGGATCCACACTTTTTAATCATACATTTATCAACAATTATCAAAATCTACAAAAAAATAAAATAAATCTGATTAGTATTTAAACCAAACATGGACTTAATTTGAGTTGAAGGTTCACTACGGAATTCGAACTACGCTCTTTCCTATTATTTATGCTTGTCATTTTTAATAATCGTTATAGATTTTTGTTATGAAACATGCCTTTTTTTCTTATTAAAATTAAACCTATATTAATACTTGATACATATTGTTCACTTACTCGTAACAAATATATATATTTAGAGAATAGAGAAAAAATAAAATAATGGAGACTTCACAGTTATCAATAAATAAAAGATCACGATCCACTCTCGTGTACTAATTTAAGCATTAAGTTTGGCACTTAGTTTAACATGATAGTAATTTACTAATTAAAGTATTTTAATACGATTGAAAGGTGATCTTAAACAGGGGCGGATCTAGGGACAGGGCGGGCTGTGCTACAGTCCGTCCCCCCAGCCCAAATGCTAATTAAAAAAAAAAAAATTAAGTTAAAAAGAAGAAGAAGATTATGTATGATTTTTTTTTTAGCGTGTTAGTTTGTGTCGAATAATTTTCTAAATCCACCACTGATCTTAAAGAGAAAGACGATACAATCAATTTACTCATAACTACTCCACTTCCTTTTAATGGATTGTTATGAACTCAATAACTGTATTAGAAATAAATTACGAACTTATTTAAAAAAAAAAAAAACTAACAAAAAAATAAACATTAACATATAGGGAAATTTACAAAATACATCAAGTATTTAGGGCATTACATATATCTTTTGAGTAATGTTATTTGTAATCGCTCACTGCGACAGTCGTCCTACGTGACATACACATGGTAGGTAATTATTTGATACATTAATGTGGTAATTTTTTTATTCATTAATGTATCAAATAATTACGTGCCATGTGTATGCCACGTAGGGCGACTGCTGTAGTGAGTGACTGCAAATAGCATTATTCATATTTTTTTGCTTATAAATAAATTCTTTAGTTATCATATTTTTTATTTATAAGTTATTTTTTTTTGGCATATAATTTAATTTTATCTCATAAAATAACTATTTTAGAGAGAGTAATTGGAAGAAAATCCAAAGAATGACCAAAAATCATTTAGCACCTATTTGTTACAAATTAAAAATTTAAATTTTAATTTAAGTTAAAGTCAGGAATTGACATTAATTCTTATCAAAAGCAATATGAAAAATAGTCCCAAGCAAGACCTAATGGTTGAACCAACTTTGATAATAAACATAGTACTTGTTTGATAAGAATTACAAGTTAAAATTAATAATTAATTTTAGTAACATATTTCATGGAATTCACAAATTTTAAACCACATATTTTTATCAAATTTTCCATTAAAATTTATTAAAATTTTAATTTTTATCTCCGTCAAACGTGAGAATAAGATAAATTAATTAATGGGTCCTCCATCTATCTTGAATAATCCAAGCATAAAGCGAGGACTGCTTTAGACAAAAAATAACGATTCCTCTGTTTCTCGCATTTGTCCGACTTAACCACTCGTTATTTCGACTCATTGGCTCTTCTTTTGTCTCATGTATCATCTTCACCTCCATAAGAATGCCGAGTTCACTACACTTTTCTCAATCTCTCTACATCTCTATACCGATTATCTCTTCTACAGAAAACATTTCTGTAACTTTGGGCAATGGCTACCTTGAAATCTTCATCTGATCGGAATTCTGGTACCCCTTTTTATTTTGACCTCTCTTTTATAGTCCAATTTTATAATAATCACTCGCAATAGTGCGAGAATTTGATGGATGACTAAATGCTGTGTGTGTTGTCTGTAAGGTGCTGTACCCGAGGTCCAGAATGGTGAAGATTTCAAAGTTCAAGTGTTCTCATCATCATCAGAGGTGGTTCTTTTGTGAAGCCCTAGTTTTGTCTCAATTGATTCTGAAATATAATTCTGTGCTAACATAACCGAATTATGAGTGATAAGTGGTAGTGTGGTACACGCCACGCGCCTCCTTCATTCCTCTATATGCATTGAATTGCCATCACATATAGCTTGCAATTCTGCTTCAAAGTTAGTACAAGCCCCATAGAAGTCATGAAAATCCAATACGCATTAATTAAAATAGTCGTGAAATAGCCCTCCACCAACGGTCGCCTGGGATTCCCTTTCTGGCTGTGTTTTAAATTCGGATGAAACTCTATCCAGTGGCTAGTTTCTTTTCTCTTAATATATCTCCTAATATTTTGTGCTTGTATCATGATCAATGCTCATTAGCCAACACCAAATTTATTGAGATAAGGTTTAGTTTGTTGTTGTATCATGATTAACGCAGCATATCAAGTATTTTAGCCCAAAGGGTGGTTTTAAAGCTTTAATTGAAAACGGCTTCTAGAATTGAGAGGATAGGTCTGTAAATTGCTTTTTATATATATAGAATAGATTCTGCAGAATCATATGAAATGCAAAGTGAATGTTTGATTGTCAATATTAAATATTATTGGACAATATAGTAGACAACATTCTAACTTCTAATTCTTTATCTAATAGAGTCCAATTCTGTCCAATCCACCGTACCAAACATGTTATAAATGTATCATTGTTCCAAAATCATGCCTGAGGAGTCTCTTTGTACCATTTAAAATAAGCATTTCTTCAAAAGAGTGTCAGAAATAGTAATTCTTGTGAACAATATGATTGAAAATGGATCATATGGCCTTAATAGTTCCTAGATTGGACCAAGAAATAGGCGCATCAAGAAACTTGCATTAGAATGCTGTTCAGTAGTAGAATCAATGCACCGCCATACTGTTAACAGCAAAAAGACAATGTGGTTAGAGGCTTATATTTTAAAGGATGCCATTGAGACTGATGAGAAACTCAAAATAAATATGCCACCTAGGACTTACAGAGTGATGTATGTCTCACAAAACATCAAATACTTTTAGATGGCAGATTAATAACATGTTTGGGAAGTGTTATTAAACGGTTTAAATTATAAAAAAAAATAGTAATCAGTGGTAGATAAGTAGATAGTACTTGTGGATCTCAGGAAATGTGCAGATAAAAATTGATTTGACCAATTATAAAGAGTTTATAAACATTAGCAAAACAGGGCTAAGGTGGAAAGTCATAGTGAAATCCATTATTACATTCGCTGGGACACCTTCCCCCCTCTTTTTCTTGATTTCTTGCAACAGATTTGTGTGTCTACAGAGGGAGCTGCTCATAGTGACAGAACGATGGATACTATCCTGAAAAATCTTACAGCGTTGTTAACTGTAATATCAATTTGTTTGAAATCAACTTGTTATTAGAACCTTTTGGAAATCCATTCTATTGCAAAGTACAGTGCATTTAAGGATGTGTGCAGAATAGATTAACATTTTAGTTAGCTCAGTCAAGGTGTTCATTTAAAGTGCCGCTCTCTTTAATTCTTCAAGGATTGATCATGATTCGTGATAAGGGACTTAATTTTGAAGTGAGGGGTGTTTCATATAATTTTTGTATGAATTTCTTTCTTGTCTTTTACATGATATTCAGCCCCAGCCCCAGCCCCAACCCCAACCAAACAAAAATAAATAAATAAATAATCAAATATACTGCATTTTGATTTTTTTTTATTATTAATCAGTTGCTCGAGAAGCTGCATGACAAGTGGTCAGGGAAGCAAAAACCCTACCCTGCAATGTATTCTAGTATATTTGGTGGAATTATTCTTGACCCAGAAATGATGGTTATTCCAATAGATGATCACATGGTTCATCGAGGACATGGTGTGTTTGACACAGCTATTATTCTTGACGGGTAGGGCCATTCTGTCTGGAATTTTGATTATTGTTCTTCACAGTTCAAATAGATTGATATGTTGAAGGTGTATATCATCCTTTCTAGTTGGAAATATTGTATCTGAATTGGATATATTCAAAATTCTCCGAGAGTTGCAGATGCTATAAACCCTACAATATAAACTTAGTTTTTCTAACTCACTTTCATATATTATATCCTGTGCATGAAAAATTAGTTATCGTAATAGCCCATCCCAGAAGAGCTCTTTGTATGGACCACTTATAGATTTATGTAATCAAGACATAGTAAAGGGTTGTTTAAGTAATTAAGCTTTTCATATGTTATTTTTGGGTTAAAAACACTGTCGTTCACTGCATTTTAGCAAAGTTTTATGCTGATCACTAAACTTCATTTTGTTCGAAGTTGGTCATTGAATCTAAACTTTGTTACAATTAACGTTAAAGTTCTCTACAGTATGATCATTCTGTCAATAAAAAAATCGGACGTGGCTGCCTTGATGACAAATAACTAGGCGGTCATTTTATCTTTTCCATTAGTCAAGTTGCTAAATATGTATGGAGTAATTAAAATGTGACATTTAGGTTCAATGACCACCTTGAAACAAAATGAAGTTTAGTGACCAACATGAAATTTCATTGAAAGTTTAGTGGGAAAAAGTGTATTGAACCTGTTGGTTTTTCAGATGTTACTTTTATTGATATCCGAGTGCAAGAGTTGAGTTATTGTACTTGTTGCCACAGATTTATCTATGAGCTGGATGTCCACCTTGCCCGTTTTCTTAGATCAGCATCCAAAGCAAAAATAACTTCTCCCTTCTCCCAATCAACTCTTAGAAGCATTCTTATTCAGCTTGCAGCAGCATCACAATGTAGGAAAGGAACTCTTCGGTACTGGTTGAGTGCAGGTCCTGGGGACTTCTTACTCTCTCCCGCAGGTTGCCCAGCACCGGCCTTCTATGCTGTAGTCATTGATGAAGATTTCTTCCAATGCAAAGAAGGTGTCAAAGTAATAACATCTACTATCCCAATGAAATCACCCCTCTTTGCCGCAATGAAGAATGTAAACTACCTGCCAAATGTCCTCTCAAAGATGGAAGCCGAGGAGAAGGGGGCATTTGCATCTATATGGGTTGACGATAAAGGCCATATTGCCGAGGGTCCAAATGTGAATGTTGCTTTCATAACTCCTGAGAAAGAGCTTGTCTTACCGTTCTTTGATAACATTCTAGGTGGGTGCACTGCGATGAGGCTTCTTGAGTTAGCACCTAAGTTGGTGGAGCAAGGGCATTTGAAGAGTGTGAAAACTGCCAATCTCACTATGGAGGAGGCCAAAGGAGCTTCTGAAATGATGTATGTTGGAAGCACACTGCCAATATTACCAATTATCGTGTGGGATGAGAAGCCTATAGGAGATGGTAACTTCTTTAATTTCGTTTCAGCGAAAAAAACTTTTAATGAATATTTATGTGGTACTATTAACCTTGAGCATGTTTAGCTGAGCTTAGAAAGTGTGCTTATAAGTTTTCTAGTGAGGAAATATGTGAGTTTAAAGATAAATAATTCTTTATTAATAAAATTGGAAATCTGTAACTTCCTTTACTTATGAATGTGGCTAAGCTTAAAAGCTCCTTTTACGGAGCTTTTTTGGGCAGTTTGTAGTTCTACCTTAAAGAAAGTCACATTTAGGATGAATGACTTTTTTATGTTTTGTGCCATCCTGATGAGATATATGGTGATATCCAGTTGCAAGTCCAAATCAATTAACTATTAAAAAATAGTAAGTGTTCGTGTTTTTACCATGATGAAAGACCAAAATTCCACCTCTTATTCATCTTAGGTACGCATGAAACATTCACTAGACATGTACCATTGTAGATTGCTCATCTCTACCAAAATATATCCAAGTAAAATATTTTTATTTGTTAAGAAGGGAATTGACCATAATCTTGTGTGCTGCAGGAAATGTTGGAAAATTGACAATGGAACTTTCAGATTTGCTGTGGGAAGATATGGTTGCTGGCCCTGAAACGCAGAGGGTCCCTGTTCCTTATGCATAGGAAACTGTGTTGTTCAAATGTTGCAGAAGATATCACTGTCGATGTTATATGATATGAATGTCAGCATGTTTAGCGGAGACGACCGCATAGGACTAAAGATATTATATCACAACCTAATAGTGTGCAATAAACATGTCGATATGTTTTATTTGCATTGTTTCAAAAATTTTAGCCTTGCTATATATGCCTTCTTTCAGACATTTTAATACCCTCTTAACTCCATAGCTACTACTTTAATAGTTGGCCTTTTCTTTGCATCCAAATTTAAGCACATTTTTGCAAGTTTGGCCCACCGCAATGAGCTGTTCTTTCTTGCTCTAAGTGCTTGGCGTCAAGAATTGATTCGATATTTTCTACTTCCAAGTACAACGAAAATCTTGCTGGTAAACTTCTTCTCTTGTTTTGTCAAAAGGCATTGGCCTTTGTCCAATGAAGAGCTCTACAAGAACTACTTTAAAACTGTAACACGTCAAATTTTTCTAAAATTGACCTTGAAATTCCAAAATTCCGGACTTTGGCTACATATTTTTCATCAAGAAGTATATTTATTGACTAAATGTCTACGCGATGGATGGGAATGGAAGTTTTTGAACGAAGATAAGCGAATACCTCTACCACTTCTACAACAATTTTCATTTCGTGTTTTGTAAAATGGGAATTTATCTCTCTCATCATGGATATGATCGAAAAGAATCCGTTTGAAAATGAATTCATAAACTAGAAAAGAAAATTCTGCTTGTAGACAAAATCCTAATAGCTAAACTATAGTTCTATGGATGATTTGTGAGAGCATTGTGACCTAATTATTGAATTGTTCTACCTCCTCCTTCACGCCATTGCACTTTCGATAAGAATAACAATAAAAATGGACTTAGCCCTTGTTTGAGCCCCATTTTTCAACCAAAATACATTCTTCAACAGTGATTTGACATCATTTCAACCACACGTTCTTCAATAAAATAATATTATACGTAAATCAAAAACTTTTCCTTATTTTTTAACCACACATTTCCCATCAATACACTATTCAAAAATTTATTTTCTTCACAAAATGGGGCTCAAACAAGGGCTTAAATGATGCAAAAAATTGAAATAACATTAGGCAACAAATGAATTTGTAAAAACCATCCCAACTTTATTTCTCTAAAATACAGGAAACAAGTAAAAAATAAAATAAAATTATGAAGGGTCAATATACTAATTTTTTTTCTTCAAAATTTATTTTCAATCATATAATTTTTTAATAAAATAATTTTGGACACATTTTATTCTAAAAATCTGAGGCTGGGCTATACTCATGGAAGTTTTCACCAGTGAAGAAGGAAAAATCAGAAAGTCCTTTGAAACCAATTGACAAAAGCCATTTGGTTGAAGATGAATGGGCATTAGAATACCCATCTCTCGGCCAATGAATGCTCACTTTAGGGAATCGAATTTGAAAACCCTACGAATTCCTAAATTCAAAACGCAAAACCCATTTCAAAAGGAATGTGAATCATCATATACACTGTACAACTCTTCCTCCAACATTCTACATTTACAGTAATCAAAGGATTCTCTCACTAGGGTTTTGCAATCAAATGGCGACGAATTCTTGGTCAGGGGAGTTGAGGAAGCCGGTGTTCGTGAAAGTGGAGAGCCTGAAACCGGGAACCAATGGCCATACACTGCTTGTCAAAGTGGTCAATTCCAATATGGTGTTGCAGAAAGGCCGCGCAGTTTCTCCCCACACGCACAACATCCGCGTTGCTGAGTGCGTCGTTGGCGATGAGACTGGTACTATACTCTTTACCGCCCGCAATGACCAAGGTATGCATACGTTTGTTATGTACATAAGCTAGATATACTTGCATAACGCAGCACAAATCCATGATCAAGTGGAAAATGATTAATGTGGTGGGCTGAATATTTCAGTCCTTAGAATGGGAATACAGATTGAGACAAGAAATCAAGCCTTGTACTTTGTTCCCTATTAATTTGGGATTTGACTACATTAATCAATTCTTGTCTCTCTTAAGTTCGTTGATTTATGGAAAATCAATAGCAATAAGTTTGAAAACAGTTTCATTTAGGAATATATCTGACATGAGAAGTTCCTCTAGGAAGGAGATTACTAGGCCCCTATTTGGTTCTGCTAAAAATCTTAATTAAAATCTAAGTCAATACCGACAATTAATTTTAATTGCATATTTGATTGAATCCATAAGTTTTCAACCACATGTTCGATCAACTTTTATCAAAATCTACTAAAATCAGTTTTTTATCTAAACCAAACAGGGATATGATGAAAAATTATCATCTAGAATTTGAATTTTCCTACTTGAAACCTCTAAAAAATCCAAGTGGACAGCCACCTTTTTGTCCAATAGTCATCATGCCAAGGGATGTTGAACTTTCTCTTGTTTAATGGGTCAAACATTGTCCGAGTAAATGTTTGATGCTGCTTTTACTATGCATGTTTCGAAAATGATTGCTGCTTTATCTTGTGCCTTGTGTTTTATCACGTCTTGTCTTCGTTTCAATTAATCATCACGTGAACCTCAAACAACGCATCTCGTAATTTCTGTCTGTTTAATGGATCTCGGTTTATTGTACTCATTTCCTTCACTTAGCGTATTTCTTTAATATGGATGGTTGCATTTTTTATTTTCAGCTATATAACCATTTGGTTCTTGTTTATGTTTCTTCCTCAGTTGATTTAGTGAAGCCTGGTACTAGTGTCATCCTTCGGAATGCAAAGATTGATATGTTCAAGGGAACTATGAGGCTGGCTGTAGACAAATGGGGTCGTATTGAGGTCACCGAACCTGCTACATTTGTGGTTAAGGAAGATAACAATCTCTCACTCGTCGAGTATGAGTTGGTGAATGTTGTGAAAGAGTGAAAATAATCTTTTGGCAACCGGGGATTCTATTAGTGTCTCTGCTTAGTTTCCCATGGCTGCTTAATTTTGGATAGGATGCCTTGAAATGGTTGTAAGAAATGTCCTTGAATCAAATGTTTGCTGGGTTTTTTTGGGTATAGTTTTTGGCAAGTAAAACCTCGTAGACTTGTTGAATATGGATGTGTAAAAGGAAATCGTATCTAGCGTATAATATATTACCTTCTGCAGCGAACTGTCTTTATTTTTATCTGTGTGCAGTCAGATGGCCACTTTGTTCCCATTAGAATGGAGAAAACAGAAAAGTGAACAGAAGAAAGATGAAAGGAAAAAAAAAAAAGTAATAATATTTTCTCTCAATTTGCATGGTCAGAACTTGTAATTCCTGTTACTTGTTGCAAGTGCATGCATGTGATAGAGCTTGTAGGATTAGATTTAACTAGAGATGCAATTTAATGCAAAAGCACGATCTTCTCATTTGTAACTTATGGACCTAGCTACTTCATTTGGTTGAGTTGGATAGAGAAACGTAGAACGGTTTGTCAATAGATGCTCATTTGCAATGATAGTGGCCACATTTTTCAGCTGCTAATTTTTCTTTACGTGCTTGTGTAGTTGGTGTTCATTTCAAGGTGATGTAGAGGAATTAAGAGTTGAAATTTTTTGTTTTGATTTGATTTTTTCTAATGGAAGCAATTTCTTGTTATGTTAACAAAGTCAATAGAGGACTGCCATGTATTGCAAGAAAATTCTTGGAAATCATCCTTGGGTCAATCAATGATGGCTGGACTTCTTCAATTGCAAAGATAGCCATCTACACTTGAAGAACACATGCAACTTGTCAACATATTTGATTGATCTTCTCGTGGGTAATTTTGCCCCATCAGATTTTTTTCTCATCTCCCTTTCAGCATCTGAAATCTGAATAGAAATTTCATTTTACCTCGTGATATTAAACCACATCATAAGGATCATTTGGATGTTGCATAGAACCTAAATCTCTTCTCTATATCTCCATATATTCTCTCTCTCATATCAATGGAGGGGTGTAGGCCATTGGGTTTCTTGATAGGCCTGCCTTTTGCCTTTCTTGCGCTGATCTTCTCTTTAGTAGGCGCTCTTGTTTGGATCCTCGGGTTAGTTATTCTCTCTCTTGCAATCATGTTTTCATCTGTTCATTATAAGTTCAGGGCTCAATTCTTTCCTCTTACGTTTTTGCACTTCGCACTTTACCTTGAGATTAAACTCGATTGATGGTAAATATTATTTTTTTTCTCGTTAGCATATTTGTTGGGATTCCAATTGAATGATCAAGTTTAATGGCTGTTCTTTTACAGTGATGTCCAAAAATAAGTCTTGTTCCAATTGCTTTTTACCAATGTTAAGATGATTAGTAATAATGAATGCAGAAAATGGCATATCCCTGAATAGAATTAAAGTAATAGTGCCAAAGTGTTTCGTAATGACTCCTTAATTTATTGAGATTAAGGCTTGTTTGTTGATGGATTGGTGAACATGTCCTATCCCCTTTCTTCCTTTTTGATTTGGAAGGGAAGGCTACAGTCGAGGTGTGAAGTAGATCACGTTGCAACGAGAGGCTTGTCCCTCTTAACACCTCTAGATTGTGGGATTTCGATGGTGTTCTTATTTTACTTAATTTTCATGGCTTAGGGGTTTGACTAACGATTTTGCATTCTTGTACTAGAACATTGCTGAGCTGTTTGTGCCCTTGTTGCATATGTTGCACTGGAATTGCCAAGTTGGCTGTAAGCCTTATGAAGCTCCCTGTGAAAGTCATAAGATGGTTTATTGAAAAGGTACCTTGTTGATAGTGAAATGGCGGAATGTTTCTATGCAAGAAAAATGAAAAAATATTTGAGCGTGCAAAACTCAAGTTGTCGATCATTATTTCAATTTTTGTATGTAAAAAAAATTTCTCTTTCATAATATTATGTAGGTGAACGAACAGCGAACATGTCGATTATTCGTGGTATTGTAATATTTTTGCTTTTATAACATTAACACCATATTTCTTAAAACATGCATGAGCTAAAAATTTGTAGCCTTCTCATACCACAGGGCGAAACAACTGAAAGGCATTTGAATTGTCACTAAAGAGAATTTCGACTTGAAAAATAAATTACTCGACCTCTTCTGGTATAACTCAAACAATAACATAATTCTCAAGTCTTAACATGTAAATATGTTAAAAGTTGGACTCTCCTTGATATCAAGAAAATGATAGAAAACTTATTTATCAAGATTATTGCCATCCCAAAAGCTATTTGAAAAATGGGTGCAAATTAATCAAATATAACTCAGAAACCCAATCATATAATTGAAAATTTTCGGCCAGTCCTTATTTGATTTTCATTATTTTCAAAATACAATTTTTTCTTTTCTTTTCAACTACACATTCCCCTATTTGAGCCCCATTTTATTCAAGAATGCATTTTAGAATGGTAAATTGATGGATAATACGTGGTTAGAAATTGAAGCAAAGTTTTGAATTTGCGTGTAATATTATATTATCAAAAAATATGCAATTGGAAAGAAGCGAATAAAAAACATATTTTGAAAGTAATGGAGATCAAATAAGAGTGACAATAATATCGTATTCTCATATTTTTATAAAAAGTTGCATTAATATGAAAAATTTCATCGATCGACTTTCCAAAAAAATCCTAAGCTGTAAATATCTATGATAAACATGACATTCTTTCCATACTAACGAATCGATGTCCGAGCATGTTGGAAACGTACATGAGACAGACACATCTCTTACAATTGTTAGAAATGTTGATGGCATGTCCAAATATTTTTGTGCCATTGGCATGTCCAAATTATTTTTGATATTTGTACGATTGGACACGTTGTATGGCCCAAATCGTTGGCGTAGCGGGCTCACAAGTAGGACTATCAGTGGATCGAATATAGATTGGATCTGCTCAAATTCAATCCAATCCGTTAAAAATAATTATTTGAACCGATAATCCGACAGATAATTGAATGTTAAATTCAAATCTAATTAGTTTATCCGATAACCCGATCCGAAATTGAAAAAATTAGAAAAATAAAAATTTTATTTTTTATTTTATTAAAAATCATAAACTCAACAATATTTTAATTATTTATTTATTTTAAAAAAATGTTTGAAATATCTTGATGAGCTCACTTATTATATAGGAAAAAATCATAAATTAGTGATTTAGTTTACACCAAATCACAAGTCAGGTGTATAATTTGGAAATGCAAAACTCGGGTATGAGGTAATTAATTAAAAATATTTATTAATTAAATATAATAAGGTCATAGTTATACAATTAATGGTCACATGCACATAATTACAGGTCACAATTTATTTATTGGTCACGTATTGTCAAATTAATTGGTCCCAATTTATTTCGAGGGCCACAAATAAATTTTTTATAGGTCACAGATCAAGAAAATAAAGGTCAAAGTTTATCTATTGGTCACAAATTTTTTTTAGTTGCAAATTATCGAATTTTAAGGTCACATTTTAATAGTTACTCACAAAAAAACCAAATAATTGGTCACATACACCCAAACACCAGATCCTAATTATCATCCACCACTAATACTTGGTCACAAATCGACCAAATAGTTGGTCACAGACATTCTTCGTCCAATCTTATCGCTACGCCACCACCTCCACCACTGTCACAACCATCACCAGCAATAACAATAACACAACACTACTGTCACCAATATCACCACTGTTACGACCACCACCACCCAGATTTGAACACGGATCCACCACCACCCATTGACATTGACCTCTTGTTGCACCCCATTCTCATCTAATATCGCCTTCTCTTGACCCACGGGTTTCCCAACTGACATTGGCTTACATGGGTTATAACGGATTTGAAGCCATCAAGTGGCTTGCCCTCCGACAATGGATTGCCTCTGTCACTGCATAAGCCTCAAAAACAAGTGTGCTAAATGTCTCCTCAAGGCGAGCTAATATGATATGCGCCAATGATGCACTATAGCTCTAAATGAACCGCAACTTCGGGTAGTCAGTTTTACCGTTGCTGACACAATGAGTGTGGCTCAAAGGAGATCGCAATGAGCTTCACTTTCACTGCTCGACGGCGACGGCCACAAAGGAGAAAAAGATGGGAAGAGAGAAAATAATTTAAGGTTTTAACTGGGTGGAGAGAGTGTACACACACACACATATACACCTAATTTTTGAATATGTAAACTTTAAACCTCATTTTTTAAATTCAATCTTTAAATACTTGTATAGATGTAATTTCCTCTATTATATATTAGAAGGTCCAAATCAATTTTTTTTTTATCCAAATGATGCTACTTTTAACTCATTTTTAAGAGAGCCCTCTTATAATATTTTAGTGATATTCCAATATGGGATACTAGCTTTTTAAATGATTATCCTTTCCAATGAGTTAGCGATCTTTCAATGAGAATACTAATCATAATTATTTGCTAATTCTAAGTGTTTACTAGTTTACTTTATTATTTTCATTAAAAATCATATCCTCAATAAGATTTTAATTATAAACAATACCAATTTGAACAAAGTAAATTATTTTAAACATATTAATTGTTATTTTTTATGTTATAAAATAAATTACTATAGTAAATCTAACCAATAAATTAATTATTAGTTTTATCTTATTTTAATTAATAAAAAAATTAAATCTTTTAAAAATTTTAAATTTTAAATATTATACTATTACATTATACTATTTACTATTTAAAAATTATGTGTAAAGTATAATACAATTTTCAAAATAGCAAAAACAGTGTCATAAATTACGTGATAATATCAAAAATATAATATGTTATTATAATAAATCGGATCGAGTTGTTATCAGATCGGATTTACCAATATCCATATTTGATTTATTTAGTTAAAGGATTATCGGATTTGGATCTCGATTGGGTTATCGGATTGAAACACTAAATCCATCTCCCATTAATTTCATCGGATTCGAATCAAAATCTAATCCGTTGACAGCTCTGCATACAATTCACATTCCTTTTTTTTTTTTTGGGACGAATAACTTTTGAAGAAAGGAATACTTATCCCCTTTCAATTCTCACTCCTTTCAAACTTATTTTTTCTATCGTATCATTTTTAATTATGCATTCACATAATAAAATATTTTATATATAAATTTTTTCTTTTTTTCAACTTTTTCAATCACACATTTTCTTGAAATACTATTCAAAACTATTTCTTTTTTTTTTTTTTTAAAAGAAAAGAATGGCCACAAGGCTTAAAATTACTTTACTTTATTGACAAGCACACACGCTCGCTTTCCCTCCAAATACTGAAGCAAGTAGAAATCCAATTCTCAAAACGCCAGATAAACTATTTTCAATGGCATACACATCTGCTCCTGGCAACAATGCTGCATATGGAAGAATCAAATCGGCGGCTTCAACGCTTTTCTCCGACAATCAGTCCCTCATATCGGTTAGAATAATCCCTCAATTTCTTAAACCATCAGTCAATATTCGTATGATTGTAAATTTTAAATTCTTTTCTGGATGTGAACTGTATCAGGAAATTAGGAAATCGATGATTATGATGAAGGAAATCGCAGTGGATATGGAGAGAGACAACGAATCCGAAATGGTAACTGCAGAAACCCTAGTTTTATGTTTAAATGTTTAAACTATCTCTAGCTAATTAGTTTTGGCACATTTATGCATTTCCATATGCAACGGAAGTGCGTAAATTATTCTGTACTTTAGTAGATCTGTCTTTGTATAATATATCTACGGCCCTATTTATACAGCCGTTTGGATTAGTTTCTTTTATGAATTATACAATGAGGATTGTAGATGTTCTTATTGGCGTGTGTATGATGAGGACCATACTGATTTTGTGGATAAACTGGAGTACTTTCAGCATCCAAAAAAAAAAAAAAAAACGACCTAGGTATTTTACTTTTCTACACAAACCTTGTTTCAGATAATTTTTTCATAGTTAATCAAATATTTTATTAATAAAAGGATAATACATAGAAAGCGTATTATCAATTTAAACACGAAAGAGAAAACATAAAATTAGGCAGTCTATCTATATAAGTAGTAGACGCAGCATTGAACAAAGTATACAATTTTTTTTTTTTTAATGATCGTATATGTCCGAGTCAGCTTACATGCACCTTGACTAATTCCACGGGACCCTGATACTCACCTCAATGGTCCGAAGAGGACTTAAATTGGTGATCATTAGGGAACAAATCCAAGACCTGACCACTGAGCTATCCCTTAGGGTTACAAAGTATACAATGTCAAATAAAACAAATTTCTAATATGCTCTGTTGTGTGTGTATGATCACCAAAACAATAATTGTTTCTTCCTCACACACACTACACAATGCAACTCGGAATAAGATCCTAAACAAGCTTATTGTCCTTATTGTGAAACTTCTCCTCCATGCCTTTATCGCATCTTCCATACGCCGCGACAACACCCAATCCATGTGTTAAAAAGTCATAATATCGTTCCGCAACAAACGAGCATTGTCACAATGAAGTAATAAGTGGTCAATCGTCTCCTTATCTCTCCTAAATATATAACACCACTCTGTAATATAAAAACTCTTATTCGGAGATTATTTGTAATGATCCAAATTTTTACCTTTGAAATCATTTTACATGTATCGTAAAAGAATATTTTCATAAACCAAGAAAAACATTATATTTTCTTAACATGCGATGATTTAAAATTAGTTTTAAAAAAGTACAATGAACATTATTAAAATCTTTAACTACTTAAGTTATTCTTGATTTTTCACTCACGCAAGCACCATCCACCTCCGATCGCATCGAACTCGATTTTTCAGTTACCTATAAAATATTTAATGTATAAATGTGAGACACAAATCTCAGTAAATGATTAATAACGAATTGCATCTTATATTTAAATACGGAAAATCATAACATACATATGGATATACTGGAATTAAAATCCGAATTTCGTAACGCTATTAAATTCTGGTTCTTTGAACTTATGTATAGGTTCCTTATCATAATCACAACTTGGATTTCCGTATCATTATATTCATAACATAAATTTTCGTAATTTAAATAATAAAGGAACAATTCATATTACTATACTTACAGTTGTATGAACGAAGACAAAGGTAAATTGAGAAAATTGTCTTGTTAGACTTTCACTCCAAAATTCTTGGGGCACATGCATGCTAAACTTTGTAGTTTGAAAATGTATGTGAGATATGAGTTAAGAGAAATAGAGATACAAAGTACAAGATTAGTTGTGTGTGAGTGTAAGTGAATTGAGGGGGGAGGTATGTATAGGGGTCTCTAAGGTTTGACCCTATCACATATTTTTGGTACCAACATTCATTGCATTATTATTGTCATATTTTTTTCCATATAGTGTAATCAATGACTCAACCAATTACCCAATTAGCTATATTAATAAATATATAATTGATATTAATAAGGTATTGCCATATAATCAAACATTTAATTTAAATTAAGCCAAAATAAATATTTTAACATACCATTTCAAAATATGAGATAGCTAGTTACACATGCATAAATTATGTTTCTGATTTTAATAAATGAATGTTTCTCTAATTATAATAATTAACTAATTAATTAAGCTAATTGACATGCAATACTTAAAAATCAATTATGAAATCATATTACTAAGATTTACCCAAGGAAAAAAATCTTCACGTGTAAAAGAAATTGCTCTATGGTCCTAAACTATTGGTCCACATTTAATTAGGTCCTCAAATTAAAAAAAAAACTTTTTTCTAGCTGTTAAATTCAATTTTAACGGCTAACTAAGTTGTTTTTGGTAACTATATTATCCACCATTAACACTCGTTCCCTCATAATCGTCAATAGTAAAAATACCATTCGTAGAAACAGTTTACATTGCATACCATCTTTCAGGGGAATGAACTCTTCACAGGTGTCAATAAGGATCTAAAATAAATGCCAACTGAAAAAAAGCCTTCCTGCACCAATCTTCACCTGCTACAATCGTCCTCTCCTATCCTGATGTGCATTTTATACAAAGAGGTCAAAAGTAGTGCATAATCATCCAATTTTCACCTCCCAAAAACAATGTTCTAGTTGAGATGCCTTTTATGTATAACTAAGATATCATTCACCATAATAGACGGCACAAAGCAAGACAATACCAAGAAGGAAATTTCACCTTTAGCGGTTGATCTTCACACCAGCAATCATCCCAAAATTTGATAGTATTATCATTTCCCATCACAAAAGTCAATCTATCCCCGACGTCTCCACCATCGCCAAATATACTGCCACAAAATCGCCCCATAAGAACCACAACCCTCGACTAAGCATCATCCCCCTTCATAACACCATATTTCACTCCTATAATTTCTCTTCAGAAACACTGTGTCTCTCCACTTAGAATCGCACAATCACTTACCCAACAAGGCCTTATTAAATAATACAAGGCACCTAAATCCGAGACCCCCCAAGTTTCAGATAATTGAGAGTTGTAAATATAAATTTGGCTTCCATTCCAGGTGTCCATATATGAGCGCATCCTTAATATAATTATAGAGGAAAATCTTTGTAATTAAGGTGTGCTTTGCAGATATATTCTTCTGACATGGTTGCGGAACCCTTTTTGAGTTGCAATGTGGTTAGGGATGAAACTGTTATCCTAAGTTCTATTAAGTTTCTGGCTTTAAGAAGCGAGTAGATGAAGTTTCCAGACATTGTTTCAAAGCCAACTTCTTATATTGTGTTTTGATTTGGCACTAATGATGATAATGTTTGCTTTGAATTAAGTCTATACTAAAAACATGTTTAGGAAGCATTTATAAACAACTTAATTTGAAAATAGAAGAAATGAGTGGTATATAAGTGGGTAGTACTTTTGGATTTACCCAAATGTATGGACAAAAAGTGGCTTGTGTGTTTATAAACCCGAGCCAAACATAGGCCTATTCTGAATTGAGGTTTGAATTTCATAGTCCCAACAAAGTGTAGAAAAGGTTTGGCTTATTTAAAGTTATCAGTAATGAGCGACAGTTGTAGGTCTTCGCAGTTTACTAATTTGTTGCGAAAATAATATTTTAGATTTAGTGTTTATGTTGCTGCTCAGCATAGTTTGAGACCTAGAATACAAAGAAGATCTCCCATCCACTGACTAAAAGACTGCAACTTCACTCTAATGCCCGTGTGCAACTTATAAACCTACTATTGAATGTAATGCTTTAGAAGGTTTGGCTGATTTACAGTTATCCGTAATGAGTGACAGTTGGATGTCTTCCTTGATTTAGCAAAAACAAATATGGAGCAAAAAATAATATAAGATTTAGTCATTGTGCTGCTGCGCTAGTTTTGGACCAAGGATACAAAGAAGATCACCTTCCACTACTAAAAGACTGCAACTGAAGTCTAATACCCACGTGCAATTAATAAACCAGCTACTGCATGTTATGTGTTAAGGTCAAGTCGAAGTGTAGATGGCAATGATGAATCTAAATATTGAATTGACTCATTTGTGAGATGCAATAGAGGACTTTTGGGAAGCTATAATTTTTTAAATTGTTGAAGATTTGATTTAATGTCAATGCAGGTGAAGGAGCTAGAAGCTGGTGTTATTCAGTTGTTGGAAGCCTCAGACCAATGTACTCATCTTTCCACGGCAATACAATCACTAAGTGGCGAATACCAGCCTGGGCCAGAGGTAACTCGTCATGCAAAATCTTTCTCAAGGCTTGGTTGCTTCATCTCTGGTGTTTATGGGTTTTAATTTGTTACTTTTTTTTATGTTTGGTTTTGCAGCTAACCGATTTTGGCAAGCTTTTTGAGGATGAGATTGGAAGACTAACGGCTGGTTCATCATCTCTCCCACAGAACCATCCATGGCTACGCCAGTTTCGTGAAGCTATCTGGGTATGTCTACAAACAAACACTTTCACTAAGATTTGTTCAGCAACCAGGAGTAATATCTTCATTTTCAAAGTAAAATTAAAATTGACCTCATATATGTTGATGATGTACATTCACACTATGCTTTATACTTAAGAAACTTATACCCAGCCAATTAACACTTAGGATAGTATAGATTTCAAGCTTGATTAGCATACTAGCCAGCTGTATGAAAGACTATCTTTCCATGCTTAGTAGGTTGTGACTGCATGATTAATTTCTCTATTAAAGAGTGCACTAGTGGCATGAGACTCCTTTTGCAATTCTATTGGAGAATTACTAAACAATGATTCATCTCATAGCTTCTTGAAACCACAGCTTGCTGAAGATCGTCACTTGGTCTATTTTCCTTCATTCACTAGCAGAGCGCCCCTTTACTAGGCCCCAGTGACTTAACAATTGCGTGACCAGCTTCTAGACAATTAATTGGTTAGCATCAACATATTGTTTGTAGAAAAATCTCAGTTACATGGATGCGGTCATTGACCCATTGCAGGTTATCCAGCATACTGTTGCTAAGAGATTTTTCTCATTGCAAGTTATTCAGCACACTGTTGCTAAGAGGTTCATATTCTTGGTTTTTCCAATTTTAAGAGAACAACCAAGATTGGAGAAGGATAAGTCAGGATGTTTTTAAGTCAAAACCATATTAAACCAGGCCAAGAAGTACATGATAGCTAGACACGTGTGCAATGATTGAGAACGTTTGGTTTGAAGCTATTTTCTCCATAAGAATAACCTGCAAAAATGCAAATCCATTACTTCTTCCTCTGGAAAAATTTGTTTCTGAATGATCTGGTGAAACTGCATAATCTTATGTGTAATAGCAATAACACTTTCCCCAGTCCATTTTGGGGCGTCTTGTGTTAAGAAGAGGTCCCTGTGAGGCACTGTTAAAAGTAGCTGTTTGTTCTTTTTGGAATAGCAAATTCTGGAATACTTGCAGATATCCTTGTTCAGTTTGATTTCTTTGCCCAAAGCGCGAACATTATGCAATATGAATGCAAAAAGACATGAACATACATGAATGTATGTGAGTGTGCACGTGCAATTTTGGGAGGGATAGAAAGGTACAATACGTATGGGCTGTCTGATATTGCTAATTGTTGCATCTAATGTGCCTTAGCCTATGAATGAGAATCTCATTCTTTCCGTGGAAAAAAAAGGGAACTTTTAATCAGATGATCCCCGTGATTATTCTTTGAACCATTTCTATAATGAAATTCACTATTAGACTTTACTGTTAATTATGCGTGTTTATCCTTGTTTTCATACAGAACGTTCATCATCCAGGACAGCCCATGCCAGGCGAAGAGCAGGAGGACATAGTAATGACCAGTACACAGTGCAATCTTTTGAATGTTACTTGCCCATTGAGTGGAAAGCCTGTGATTGAACTTGCAGATCCGGTTAGAAGGTATTTCTTTAACTTAGTTTAAACACCTAGCTTCTTTCATAATGAAGAGCTATGACAAAGTAGCATAGGCAACATGTGAACTCCCAATGTACTGTTATATAATGCTGGCTTGCACTTCTTGTTCAAAACCATGGCTCACTGTTTGTGGCAGTGGAAGTTCTATCAGCTCCAGATTTACAATGTTTTTCATAAATTGTTTTATCTGAGATACTGGTGTTTTATGCTGATGCTCGGTGACTGTTACGGTGTTTCGAGGACAGTAAATGAGAAAATAAAGCCCTTCTATATGCCAGACAAATTGATGGGGAACATGATGAAAGTTGGGAATAGAAACATGCCATAGAAACACTTTCTAAAAAAAGAGTCCAAAATTTTCATTCACAAATTAAACATTTGATCTGTTAATTATTTTTTTGTAATGGAAAGGTTTTCTGGTTTAGGATATTGACTCTGATTTCCTATTTGACGTACAATGTTCTGAAACCAAAGTTAATTGGTGGATATGTTACCTGATGTATAATTCTAAATTAGAGACGCATTGCTCTGCAATGGAATGAAATGATGCAATTAACATACTCAGAAGAGGATGGAAGAAGAAAGTGAAAATCAATGAATTAGGAAGAAGAAATTAGGGGAAGGGATGGAAGAAGAAGGAAATAGGGGAAGAGGAAGAAGAACGGGGAAGAGGGGGAATTTCGTCATAAGCCACCAAAATATTATTCATTCATCAACTATTAAAATTACATCGAAATTAGGTTTAAATAGTGAATACTAAAACTCTAACTAGAGTAAATTTGGATGAATACAAGTCCAATTACATAAATAAAGTCTAACTAGAAATAAAATAGATGATCTCCTCATCAATTCTCTCGGGGTGGGAGTAAAATTCGACCCTGTCGAGTTGATAGATCACTATAGGTTGCAGTCAGTTTGATACTCCAAATGCTTCAAGTCAAGCCACCGGATGATCTTTCTGACGAACCAAGTAACAAAATTTCATGATTGATAGTACTGAAAACTGTAGCTTATTCCCAAGAATATGACCTGACCAAGGGGGTGATCTTTCCTTCTAACCAAGTACTGATACTGGACTCCAAATACCTAATACTCATGCACCTCATCTTCAAGATTTTCACATGATTGTACATAATGAGAAGCATAAGAAGCACGTCGATCTACCCAATAAACAAGGAAGTACTCAATCTTGCTATCATTGGTCAATACAATACGTTCATCTAAAATAATATCAATTTTATCTTTGTGTTCAGTGAGAGATGGTATTGAAGTAGAAATATCAACATAGTCAAGTTGGGGGTCCATAAAGTTAAGTAGAAATGGATCATCAAAGGAAGTAACACGGTGTTTGTAAGTAATGAAGTCCTTAATATTTAAAGCAGAGTGGTAGCCAAAATTTGATGAAAGAGCAATGACATGTGTATTTGAACCAACATGCTTTAAAATTTTTAAAGGACCAGCACTACAAGCTTGTAATATAATATAATCCCCAATATTAAATTCAAAATATCGTTTATGCGAATCAACTTGAAGTTTATATAATGTATTACTTGCGTCATGTTGTTTATTGATCTCAATATGCAAGTTATGAAGATGATATACAAATGTTTCAGCTAACAACGACACACTAGCATGCGGGGACATGGGAATAAGATTTGACGGCTGCCTAGACTTATAACTATGAACATCAAATGGATTTAGACCTAGAGACCGATTTACAGAATTGTTATATGCAATTTGAACAGTTGGAAGGACCAAATTCCAATTTCCTAGAGTTTCCTTGTAAAGAGCATGATTACACAAATCATCAATATCTTTGGGTGGGATAAGAGTAGGACACACAACATTTGACTTAGAGGTATCAAGAACAAGGGGTTCAATACGTAGACTCATAGGAAAAGCCCGAATACTATCTAAGGGGGTGTCCTCACTGTCATCCAATTCATCAAATTCTTCAAGTTTAGCTTCATAGATTTGATTTTCTAATCACTCATCTCTCATATTCTTTTGTTCTTCAATGAATAAGGCTCGATTAGAACATTCAGAAGAGATGTGGCCAAAATCCTTATAGTTGAAGCACTGCAAATGAGAAGAAGTTATTGTAGTTTCAATCTTAACCTTTATTGTCCAACAGAGGAGGAGCATTAGATGGGGGAGGACCTAAAAGGGACTTAATAGGAAAATGTGGTGTTGATGAGACGAAAGAGGGAATGTCACTACGCCTTCGATACGAAGAAGAAGATCTTAGGATATCATGACCTTTACACTTATTTTCCCAAATGGGAGGAATATTAGACGAGGAAAGCTCTATGATAGACTTATGACGAGGTGGCGCTAATGACATGGGTGAGCGATGGTGATCGCGCTTTTCATATAAAGTACTAATAGTCAACTCATAATCTCTGGCTAAAGAATAAGTGTGATCAAGAGTAGTGACACTTCGAAAGAAAAGCTCACGCCTAAGATCATCTCCTAAACCTTGGCTAAATCTACTCAAAGTCGTGGTTTCATTCTCAATGATATGACATTTGGTTCAAAATTCCTCAAAGTGTGCAATATATTCAGTCACTAATCGATTCCCTTGTTTAAGAGCAGTCCATTGAGTAAAAACTTCAAAATCTAAGCAACTATCAAAAGTATAAGTGTGTAATTTAGTGTCCCTAAAGAAACTCTCCTTATGATGAGAAAGAAAATGAGTACCGTGACGGTCATAGGCTCGTTCTCGTTGAAAAATTTATTCCCTATCACTATGATTGTATCCATATTTTCGATCTTCTCGACGATGACGATAATGTCTATGATGGGATACTTTAGAATTATCAACGTCGATCAAATGAGGGATTTGCTTAAAATTGTTTAAATTAGCAAAGAGAGCCTTACTCTCTTTTAAGTGTAGCGGTCATTTAGGTTGGGATAGCCGTATTTGTTGGGTGAGTGCATCAAATTGTGAACAGAAACTAGAAGTGACAAGACGACCAGTCAACCACTATGAATGCACTATATTAGTAGCTAAATGACGTGCAATAGAGAGATCAATGAACAATAAGTGCAAGCAATGGAAAAGAACTTGAACCATTTTTATTTATTTATTTATTTTTAAATTTTAAATTTGGAGGATTAGGAAAATCCAAATATTGCAAACTAATACTGTTGATACATTTCAAATAGCAAAGCAAGTAAACACTAGTAAAAAATCCTAATCACTTGAAATAGATTGAGGGGTTAAAAGCAAGTCTACAAGTGATGAATCAAAACCTCACACGGGGTAAGTAGGGAACCAATGGGAGTTAAGTCATTCAATGATTCTGATAAAGTGTGGTTAAGGCTAATATTGTCAAGGTAACAGCAGCACAAGATTTTAATTGATACAATTTTAAAAATGAAGCAGTAGTATAAACTAATACTAAATAGAGATCAAGGACTCCCCGTTGTTTAGTTGCTTGAATTTCTGATATGTGGACACTAGTTATGCTTGTGTCCTATCTTTCTTTGCAGATGTCTTCCACTCTAGAAGTCACTCCCTGTTGATTGTGATTTATATTAGTTATTGCTCTGGCTCTGTTGTGAGTTGAGTTATAACTGACGAGCAAGTGGAATTGATCCCTGTTGTTGGTTGTTTATGTGTTAAATGGGATGTGATAACATGTGTTAAGTGGGCTGGTTTATTTTGATTTAAGTAATGGGTTGGGTTATCTTTTAGATGTTGGAATTGGGCTAGGAATAAGTGGTTGGATGATTATGATAAGAAGTGGGCTGTGTATGGAAGGGGTAATGGGTTGAGTTAACTGGGTTTTGGGGGTTATTGGGTTGCGTGGGTTTGGCTAGGGATAAAAGGAATATTTGTGGGTATATTTGGATTAGGTTGTTAGGATTGAAAATTTGTGAAACAACACTTAATAGCAGCAAACGCCTAAAATATTAAAATTGATTTTTTTTTTTTTTAGGCAGAAAATGATGAAAAATACTAAAACTGAATTTTTTCCTGGTGAACAGTAACTCTCTCTCTCTCTCTATTTTTTTTTTTTGGGAACTGAAAATACTAAAATTGAATTTTTCGGTGTGAATAATACCCGTGTACAGTAACACGATTTTTTTTTTCATTGAGACAGAGAACTAAAAAAAAAAATGAAAAACGTTGCTTTTACACTAAATCTTTTTCAATTGTGCTGCTCCAACAATTTTTGAGAAGAAAATAAGAAGAAATTTTGGATTGTATGAGAGGAAATATCTAAGATTCGGCTCCGATACCAAATCTAATGCAGCATCAATAAAAAAATTAATGAAGAAAGTGAAAATCAATGAATCAGGAAGAAGAAATCAGGGGAAGGGATGGAAGAAGAAGGAAATAGGGAAAGAGGAAGAAGAACGGGGAAGAGGGATAATTTCGCCATAAGCCACCAAAATATTATTCATTCATGAACTACTGAAATTATATTGCAATTAAGTTTAAATAGTGAAGACTAAAACTCTCACTAGAATGAACTTGGGTTAATACAAGCCCAATTACATAAATAAAAATCTAAAACATAAATAAAGTCCACAAAATAAAATAAAGTCCAACTAGAAATAAAATAGATGATGTCCTCATCACAAACACTTCTTGCAACTCATTACTCTTCGTCTATTTTGGACTCATTAAGCTAACTCTAATGTGGATTTAATCATATTCAGAGCTTTGTGTCCGGATTCTTTTCTCTGAACTCATGAGATCAAATTTATTGAGAAAAATACTCGATTCTTTTCCGTATTCTCGACATAATTTTTATGAAAAAAGGGCATTCTACAGATTTCTAGAGATTCATTTCCCCCTTTCTTAAATCTCTGTAGTTTTTGACATAATAAAGCAATGCAAAGTGTGATGCTTACTCTTGCCTCTGTTTTATTCTTCGTTATAATGAAGCTCCAAGGACTATTATCTAACAAGTAATGCACTTAGTTGACAGACACTAAAGAGCGGAGACATTTGTGACAGTTTTGTTTTTCTTCATTTATATGATGTTTTGGCAGTATGGACTGCAAGCATATTTATGAGAAGAAGGTTATCATGCGATACATAAGGTCCAAGAATTCACGCAGCCAATGTCCTGTAGCAGGTATGCATTATCTCTTTCTGAAATTACAGCTTTGAAATCCCAGAAATACTGAAAAGTGAAAATTTTACCATTGGTCCCAACTTATTGTTCCAATAGCAAGTTTTTCCTGAACAGTCCACTGAAAGTAGCATAATCAGTCCCCCAATGATGGAAACTACACAAAATTCCTAAAATTGTGCCATGACTCTGGAAACATGTGTCACTTCAGATTTCTTGGTAGTAACCTAAATCAAGCAAAACCTAGCTTCATAAGATATGTGGGGGCTATATTTTGTCATTATCGATTGATTGTGCATCTATAATGAAAGCTCGATGACCAAATTGTTCATTTTAAAGGTTGGAGACTAACTTTCTACACGAGAAATGGTTTGGAGAGCAATTGAGCAACTTTATTTACTGGAAATGGGCTGTTGGATTTTTGTCCTTGCTATCTTATAATTTCTTATTGCAGGGTGTCCTAAAATGCTGAGGCCGGATAGAGTGGTGTGTGATCCCCTGCTACTTATAGAAATCGATGAAATGCGCTCCATGAACAAAGAAAGTACTAGACGTGATGTCATTGAAGATTTTACCGAACTTGATGAAGAGGACTAAGTAGTGGAAATTATACGGCTTTCCCAAGTTTAGACTCTGATCGCTAGTTATTAGCAGAAAATGGTACATATGCAAACTTATTCACCTTCTTTAGGTCCTTTCATTAGTTGAAGGAAGTCTTTAGTTCTTTTCATTAGTTGAAGGAGGTCAACATGATGTTATACTTATTCGCCTTCTTTAGGTCCTTTCATAGTTGAAGGAAGTCGGGATCCTTAAGTGAGGACTTACCGATCATTCCCTGGTAACTTCGACTGATTCTGCCACAGAACTAATCCCTTATGTTATATAAGTCATTTTACCAATTTTTGTTCAAGCTTGGAAATGAAAGGAAGGCCAAGGGATTTTTTTCGTTTTAGATATAAATGTGAGAAACAAATATTTATCGATATGTGCTATTTCCTTAACTATAAATTTCTCCTATATCAAAATAGAAACACAGAAATGGAAGAAACTTAGGAAAAATAAAACAAGAATTATTTTATTTTATTTTTTATTATTTCCACTCTTCTCATTATTGACTTGAATATGAATGCAAATTATGAGCATTCCCTTGTATGGACCAACTTTTATTTGTTAAATGGAAAATGGCAAGTTCACAACCTTTCACCAACTCACCAACTAGTTGACTATAAGTAGAAAGTGAAAGGTGGAAAGCGGGTCAGGTTATGGTTTGAGACCGCTTGATAACTGTTATGGACTTGACATGGCTAGCATTTGAACAGATTCAAGCATAAAATTTGAATATTACTTACTAATACTGGTCAAGTAAACCATTTTTACGAAGTTAGTGTATATACTCTTGTAGTTCGCTAGTTTCCAGTATATTGAGATTGACTCTATCGTGTTAGTTGTTAATCTCATAATATGATTCCTTGGATTGTCTTTAGTGGTACGAGGAATTGTCATGAAATGTTCGTGTGTATTGAGATTGACTCTTGTCATGTTAGACGTCCATATCATAACCCACTTCCTCGACTATCTTCAGATGTACAAGGAGTTGTCAGACCTTTTCACGTTTGCTACTGGTGGCCTTCATAACTTATTCATTTTTAGTCACAATTACATGAAGAAATGGCCAAATTGCTGATCCAGCCTCTCTTTGCTGATGCAAATCTGCACTCTGTTTTCCGCTTTTGTCACCCCCCCCC